AATAACACTGTGTGGAGCTGGTTGATCACAGCAGGCCAGGCAGCATCAGAGGAGCAGGAAAACTGATGTTTTGGGTCAGTACCCTTCTCTTAAAGAAGGGTCCAGACACGAAATGTCAATTTTCCTGCTCTTCTGATGCTGCCTGTCCTGCTGTGTTCCTCCACCTCCATTCTGTGTTATTTCCTGCTCCTCAGATGCCGCCTGGCCTGCTGTGTTCCTCCAGCTCCACACTGTGTTATTTCCTGCTCCTCAGATGCTGCCTGGCCTGCTGTGTTCCTCCAGCTCCACACTGTGTTATTTCCTGCTCCTCAGATGCCACCTGGCCTGCTGTGTTCCTCCAGCTCCACGCTGTATTGACAGCCCACTGGAGAGAGAGGTCAATATGCCTGCATTGATCGTCCAACCTGACAGCCTCCTGTCACGATCACGGAACATGAAGGAAGCCCGCTTCATTGTGACAGAGGCCCCGTTGCAGACCTTGCCCTGACCACATCCTCTGCTCTATACTCCCAGTGTGTCGCAGACACTGGGGCACAGACTCTTGTGTCATATCACCTTTTGTGTAGAAAGCCTTGTGACTGCACTCTCTTGTAAATGAACTAAAACACCTTCAAAAACACTGCCAACCAATTTCAGGCACCATCTGATAGAAAAAATGCTCCTTAAATACTTGCAATCAGGCATGTTTCATTTCTCCTTTTCAAAAATAAATGTGGACAACTCAGATGCTGCCAGGAGCTACATTATCTAATGTTGGCATTCTGGCATCATTCCAGCGTGTTGGGCTTATTGAAGTCAGGGTAGCACCAACTACACATGTTCTGGCACACACAGCAAATGCAACTATATATTCATACTAATGAAGAACGGTGTAATAGGTCATACGGTGCCATCTGACCCCCAGAAATCAAGAAACAAGTAGTGGAGCTTCATGGTGAACTTATTTTCACCAGCATACCCCAATAACATGGGAGAAGATTTTCAATTCCCAGTGGGATCAGAATTGGGCCAATGACCTCCCCAGATGGTGTCTCTGGATCCGAACTGTCCTGGGATGAGCAACATTAGGAAGTGGCTTTAGGACCCAGTGTTGTATGCTACCAAGCACAATATTTCTTATTCATACACAGAATGTTGATGCTTCAATTGTCTATGGGGCAGTTAAGAGCAAACACATTATCGCCACATAAAGTCTAGACCAGGTTAGGACAGCAGCCTCCTCCCCTAAATGTGTTTTTAAGGCTTTCAACAGTCATCTTTTAATTCCGTATTTTATTGGATTTAAATTCCACCATCTGCCATGGCAGGATTCAAAACCCAGTCCCCCAGAACAGGATGTCATGTTACAGCTGTACAAGACATTGGTAAGGCTACATTTGGACTATAGTGTATAATTCTAGTTGCCCTGCTATAGGAAGGTTGTTCTTAAACTGGAAAGGGTGTAAACAACATTTACAAGGATATTACTGAGACTGGAAGGTTTGAGTTATAAGGAGAAGCCTGGATAGGCTGGGACATTTATCCCTCAAGCATAGGAGGCTGAGGGATGTCCTTACGGAAGTTGATAAAATCATGAGGGGCATAGATAGGGTGAATAGCAAAAGCCTTTTCCCCAGGATAGGGTAGTTCAGAACTAGAGGGCATAGGTTTAAGGTGAGAGGAGAATAATTTAAAAGGGACCTGAGGGAAAAACATTTTCACAAGGAGGGTGGCTCGTATGTGGAATGAGCTGCCAGAGGCACTGGTAGATGCAGGTGCAATTAAAAAATATAAAAGGAATTTGGGCAGATAGATGGATAGGAAAGGTTTAAAGGAATATTGGCTAAACACAGGCAAATGGGACTAGTTCAGTTTAGGAAACCTGGTCGATACGGATGAGTTGGGTCGAATGTTTCATGCTGCATGAACCTATGACTCTACGACTCTATGACTTGTGTTTCTGGATTTATTCTCTCGCAATAACTCCACCGCACCATTGTCTTCCCGTTTGAAAATGGAATGCTACTTTGCAACTCTTGCGTAAAATCTGTTACCATTTAAATAAAGGCAGCGTACTGTTGATGCTGAAAATCTGAAAAAAAACAAATAAACTGCTTAGAGAATCTCAGCAGGTCTAGTAGCATCTGCAGAGAGAAAAACAGGTTTAATATTTTGAGTCTGATATGACTCTTCAGAACTTCTGAGAATTTCAGAGTCTCTCCAGCATTTTCTGTGTTTGGACCGTGCGTTAAATTCATCAGTTTGTTGTTTTAACAAATGCACCAACTCACAAAATAACTCACTCCGTTATGTAGAGGACTCAAGAATGTTAAATAAAGTTAAGGTGCTGATTGATCTCACAGTTTCACTTCGCTTATTGTTAAGGAGTTGCTGGTCAGTATACTCACAGTCCTGTATTTGAGCACATATCTGAGGATGGGTGATCCTCCATCATCCTGTTTCGTCACAACCAGTTTATAGTTCTTGCCATTGCCACTGTGTCCTTGCACTGTAGGGGGACTGGGCTCTTCTGCAAATTGACAAGGAGACAAAAAAAAATTAGGCTGCTGCTGCAACTTTGGAAGCTCTCTGTATATTCATATTACACTGAGATTGTGATTGAATCACACGCCTGAAAATGATCTTGAAAATAATGGCCCTCAGGGACCTTGGTATCATCAACAATCAATCCATTTTGACCATCCAATATTTTAGGAATGGCTGCCAATTCCCTGGACACCTTCAGCACCTTTTCTGAATTTCCTGATGCTTCCAGATGCTTCTTTGATGTCAAAGAGGTAGAAGTTAGCTGGTATTATCTGGAAAAGAACAGGTGAATTGCAAACAAGGCCCTGTTGTCAGGTACTCTATTGGGCGTCAATGTCCTCCAAACCCTCATATATCTGTTCAAATTGGGCTTGCACTGATAGAGTTCTTGACAAAATGACTTCATATAATGCAGTGGCTTTGGTTTTGAACTATTCATTGCCTATACCTCTAACACACTCAGCCACCAAATGACAGAATACAGGTATTTCAGCTATCAATCCTTGCACTTTGAGTTTTGACTTTTCAATGTGACACTAAGATATTTGAGTGAACAGTGAGTCCAAACCTTCACAGCGTTTCTCTCAAAGAGCATAACTCCCATTGAGCATTACCCACGCTGAGCATTACGCACACTGAGCATTACCCACACTGAGCATCACCCACACTGAGCATTACCCACACTGAGCAT